TCAGTTTAGCGCGTTCCTTTACATACTGAACAATGACGTCATTATCTGAGTATGAAATATTCAACTTGCTTCAGACTCAGTTTTACTTGAATGTAAAGTAACTATTATGTTCTTTTAAGTACAGTTTAATTTCTCATAACATATTCTCTTTTTATAAACAGGAATATGGGCAGATGATAGTGATGAAGATGAATTATCTAGCAGACCATCTTTTAAAACTTTTAACAAGGGTCCTAAGAATTATACAACACCAGTTAATTTTGTCGCTGGTGGTATACAACAAGCAGGACAACCAAAAGACAAGGAAGCTGAAGACAATGAAGAAGACGAAGAAGAAACACAGGATTCTCAAACAAAGTATAGTAGTTCAAGGTGAGATTTAACATAACTATTTTATATTAATAAATTGTAAATGTTTTTTCTTCATTGATCTTTATTAAGAGTAAATTTATACATATATGTAAATATATAATATTTTTCCTTTAGTTCAGAAGATGAGAAGTCAAATAATTCCAAATCACGTCCATCTTTCTCTTTGAATTTGGATAGTGACATTGCAGGTCTACGTAAAAAGCGTAATCAAGTGAATCCTTTATTGATGAAAAGTGGAATGGGTAGTTGGGAAGTACATACAAAGGGTATTGGTGCTAAATTATTGCTACAGGTATTTTACAAGCAATGTTATTTATTTATTGTAAAAATTTGAGTAAGATAAAATAAAGTAGTAAATTAACATTAGAAAACATTTTTATTTAGATGGGATTTGAACCTGGTAAAGGCTTAGGTAAACAATTACAAGGAATAAGTGCACCAGTAGAAGCACATCTCAGAAAAGGAAGAGGTGCAATAGGTGCATATGGTCCAGAAAAAACGCCAAAGATTCCTGAGAAAAAGAAAGATGACGAGGGGGAGGAAACAAAAGAATCTAAATCCAAATCCGTATCTCAGTGGCGGAAGGGTGATAGCAGCAAAAAAAAAATCAGATATTGTTACAGAAGTATAGATCAAGTTTTAGAAGATGGAAAACTGAAACCTAATAAAAAACTTCCAGTATCAAGCGATATGAGTAGAGTTAAAGTTATCGATATGACAGGACCGGAACAAAGAATTCTTAGTGGATACCATGCAATAGCTGGTGGTCAGCAGTGTCCTGATGAGACTGTGATTACGTCTGATAAAAGATCTAAAGTAAACTTTGCCCTGCCTGAATTACAGCATAATTTAAATTTACTTGTAGATATGTGTGAGCAAGATATTATTCAAAATGATCGACGAATGAGACATTTAAATGATAGAGTAATTGCTTTAGAAGCAGAAAAAAAGAATTCGTCCAAAGTCGTGGATCAACATATCCAACTTATTGATACTTTAGAGAATGTGCTTGTAATTGTAGATAAGTTAATGAATGAAACGAACGAATTGTCATTGGAAGAAACTGCAGAGGCTTTTAAAAATTTACAAAACAATTATTATGAAGAGTATAAGATGTATGAACTTGGTGAATTAGCCAGCAGTTTTGTGGCACCAAAAATAAAGGATTGTTTGCTTAATTGGAATCCATTATTGCAACCAAAACAACCGATTAAATTATTCGAACAGTGGAAAGATATCTTGGAGAATGGAATTAGTACAACACTGCAAACACAGACTATGCAGTCATATGATCAACTAGTATGGAATGCATGGATGCCATCAATTAGAGGAGCCATACAGTGAGTAATTTCTATAATATGTACTAAATATATATGTATAATAATTTAAAGAGGTAAATTAAAGGATATAAGAAAATATTCACATTTTTATTGTGATATACATCTGTAAAAAATAGTTTTTAAAATGTATTCATGCCTTTTATAATATATATATATTTTATTTATAAATTAAGACAGTGGTCATGTAGGCAGCCTGAGCCTTTAATAGAATTAGTAGAATACTGGATGCCGTTATTACCCAATTGGATTTTGGAAAATATATTAGACTTATTAGTATTACCAAAATTAACATTGGAAGTTGAAGAATGGAATCCCCTTACTGATACTGTACCTATTCATACATGGATTCATCCTTGGTTACCATTATTACGTAAATATATACATATATAAATTTATTTTTTATACTTTTTATATTTGATTATACAGATGAATTACGTTGTAATAATAACTGTTTTTATGTTATTCAAGGAAATCGTTTAGATACTTTAATTTATCCAATAATACGTAGAAAACTCGGATCTGCATTAGGAGGTTGGCATCCATCAGATAGATCTGCTAGATTAATGTTGCAACCGTGGGCAGAAGTGTTTGCTAAAGGAGACATGGAAGCGTTTTTAGTTAAAAACATTATTCCAAAATTGCAAATAGCTTTATCTGAGTTTGTTATAAATCCACATCAACAGCACTTAGATCAATGGAATTGGGTGTATGAATGGAAAGAATTAATCCCTGTTCATATCATGGCAGGATTACTTGACAAATTCTTTTTCCCAAAATGGCTACAAGTTTTAGCACTTTGGCTCAATCATTCGCCTAATTATGATCAAGTTACAACTTGGTATATGGGTTGGAAGGGGATGTTAAGTGACAAGTTACTAGCGGAACCAGTAGTAAAAGGTAAATTACATTTTTATATTGAATTTACATTTTTTGTTTCCTCATAGTTGATGATTATTAAATTATGAAACAAATTGATTTACAGAGCATTTTAAGAAAGCATTGGACATGATGAATAGGGCTGTCAGTGGGCCACAAACTCATCAACCTGGTGCAATCGAACAAGTTTCATATTTAACAAGCTTAGAGAGAACTCAGCCAACAATATCGCAGGTGGCACCAATTGCGCAACCGAGAATGGAGGTACAGGAATTGCACATTATTCGTTTAAATTACGTGATGTTAAATAATAGCACAAGTAATGTCAGTAATATGCATACTGTAATTTTCTATAAAATTATACTATCGTTTTTTTACAGAGACTCGCAGAGGCAGTACGAACAGCTTCACAAATTCCGCAGGGTTTCAAGGATTTCGTACAAAAGAAGTGTGAAGAGAGAGGTATATTATTTATACCGATTCCGAATAGATACAAGGAAGCTAAGCAAGTGTATAAAGTGGGCAATGTTCAAGCCTACATTGACAACAATGTCTTATTTGTATGTCACAATGGTACAAATTGGATGCCAACGCATTTGAATGCCTTATTGGATATGTCTGAACTTTAATAATAATATTATTAAATTTAATTTATTATTAATTTATTATTAATAATAATATTATTAAAGTTCAGACATATTGTAATCTTTATATCGTAAATATTATATTAATATTATATTTAGTAATGTATTATATTACTAAGTATTGTGAGAGAAGTTGATTAATTATCTTATCATTTTACATCATTTCATAATGTATATTTTATCTATGTATTTAAATCTATGTATTCATACTTAAGCGATACACATCATTTTTGTATTAAAAATCTATAATAAATTAAAGACAGTTGTGTAATAAAGGACTAATAAGAATCAAATAAATAATTTGTCAACATTTCAAATAAAGTGATGAGCTATATATATATATTATATACACACACACACATTCTAATTATAAATTTTACTTTCATAAGTCTGACATTACATGTTTCAGCTGTATGATTCAGTCCTTTTCGGATGTTCAAATAAACTTGTATAACAAAAATCTATTTTATTATAAAATAAAACGTAATATCAATATAAAATTAAGTTATGGTATTTTGAAGAAATTAGTTGTGATGGACATTTTTTGGACTAGATAAAATGATCTTTGTTCAACAAACGATTGAATGACCGATTGAAACTGTTTTACCATGTTCTGGGGGCCTATTCTGTACACTCTTACCGACAACTGTCGGTATCGTTAAGTAGCGATAACCAATGATATGGACTGTTCTAGGAGAAAAGTGCGATTCTTATTGGCCATCGCCACTTAACGACACCGACAGTTGTCGGCAGGAAGTAAGATATAAGGAGACTCCACTCCGTAAAATAAAAGTGGACCCATTTTAGGTTTCGAGTTCAGCTTCCGATTCTGATGAGTGCGAGTAAGAGAAATGATCATTTCTCTTACTCGCACTCATTATGCGCAGCACTACTAAATTCACGAGCGCTGCGAGTGTCGAGAATCGGAAACGGAACTCGAAACCTAAAATGGGTTCATGTCTTGTAGACTGGCGAGACCGAGTGGAGTCTCCTTATATCTTCCTTCATGGTTGTCGGTAAGCGTGTACAGAATAGGCCCCCTGAGGCCCTATTCTGTAACTCGTTAAGCAGTTAACGACATCGTTGCGCAGCTTTTTATACACCATAAGATATCTGCGCAACGATGTCGTTAACTGCCTTAACGAGTTACAGAATACAGGGGCTGTTGCGGGTTTCTCTAAACGTTTTTTCGATAATTGTTGTTATCGTTAATTAGCAACAGCCAATGAGAGCCGCGCTTCTTTTAGGATTGTCCTGCCATTGGCTGTCGCTAGTTAACGATAGCGACAATCATCGATAAAACGTTTAGAGAATCCCGCAACTGATGGGAGAGAAGAGAAATAAAGAATGAGGTTATTGCTGGATTCACACTGCATCCAATTTTCGTCGTACGACGAATCTGCAACCAATTGGAAAACAGAATTTTGCCTCGCGTCGACGATACGATTTTTCTGATTGGTTGTAGAGTCGTCGTAGACGCACATCGGATGCAGTGCGAATCCAGCATATGAAGAATTCCATAAATCACGTCTAGCTGTTAAAAAACTCGGAAAGTGGAAGATCAGTAGCTAATCAGAACTCGCGCTGGTAACAAAAGCACAAAAACGATATACGGGAGCACTCAGGTGATGTTTTTGAACGCAGCCTAGGAAAATCTTTGAGAAAGTTGGCAATCCTGTCCGTTACTATTCATGATGGAAGGGATGTAATTCTTTCATCATGGTTACCATCCGTTATCGCCGATTATTACTAAATGGCATTTTCGCAACGTTGTGAGTCGTCGTACATCGTTTTGTAACGTTTTTGAATTTTGTAATTTGTTGTAATCTGTAAATAAATATATTCTCTCTACATTTCTAGTTTAAATAGACAATACAAACGTAGTCATGACGGAAAACTGGAGATTGGATCATCGCGCGAGAAAGAGGATCAAAGAGGTGAAAAAGAAGGCTCGACCAGGTAAAGAAAACGGAACTTATAACCTGAGTTATAAAGTGGCAAACCGATATCGGCTTTTTCATTTTCTGTTTCATGTATCTGTTATACGTAGCAAAAGTTAAATGCCCGAGCTTAATAAGATAGTAAAAAATCGTGTTCACCGACTTTGTACGATTATTTCCAAGAAGAGCAAGAAAGAGCACTCCCCTGAGACCTTGAATGACGATGATGTAATTCAATTTCCCGATAATCTTAATCCACTTATTCACCTTTAAAGACCTTTACTTCCGTCAAGTTAATTCGAGATCTATGTATTTCAACTGTCATTTATGCATAAATATATTATATCACTATTATAATTTCATACATTTTACAAAATAATTTAAATTGCAATATCGCCGAAAACTTGTAATAGGTACTTCTAACTTGAACGTATGTACTTTTAAGAACTTGCTGATAAAACCACGTGGATCCAGCATGGGTATTGTAAAATTTTTCAAAAATTCTGGGAATTTCAAGACAATGCTGAACGAATTGATGAATCCAATGTGACTACAGAAGAATTTGTAGAAAAATATGAGAAACCATACAAGCCTGTGATAATACGAGGTGTTCAAAATGGCTGGAGAGCCCAACATAAATGGACTATAGAGGTTGGATCTTTTTTATATGTGATAATTACTTATTTTGTTTTTTATAGTACTTCTTTATAAATGGATATAATTGATTATTAAAAAGATATACTTTTCAAATGTTAGACAATTTTGAAATTCAATCTAATGATTTGGACAAACCCTAAATTTTATTTATACCTTCTTAATTGAAAGAAAATTGTGTCTTTAATACTGATTCTACAATGAGTCAGTAATCCTAAGTTTTATTGGTGAATTTGACTAACACTGATTGGTCAATTTTACTGATTAAGACTAAGACTTCCAACTATAGACTCATTATAAAATCAGCTTAATACTCATACACTGTACAAATAGTTTTTAATAATTCTGATTTTCTCATTCAATTTCAGAGATTAGCAAAGAAATATCGAAATCAAAAGTTTAAATGTGGAGAAGACAATGAGGGATATAGTGTAAAAATGAAGATGAAATACTATGTTCGATATATGTATAATAATGAAGATGATTCTCCTTTATACATTTTTGATAGCTCATTTGGTGAACATCCAAGACGAAAAAAATTATTGGAAGATTATGTAATTCCTAAATACTTTCGGGATGATCTTTTCCATCATGCAGGCGAACATCGAAGACCACCATATCGTTGGTTTGTTATGGGACCTGCGAGATCTGGTAAATTATATTCGACATATATTAATATCCAGCACATGCAAGTGCATGCATACGCACTTCTGAGTTTTTAATATAATTAAAAAAGTAATTATTGCACTAATTAAAAGTTATGTAAGTATAAATCTTGTGTTTCCAAAAAGATTTTAAATATTAAAAATCACTAACATGGATGCTGTTTGTAACTACATTTAAAAACTGTGAATTACATATGTGATATGTTAGAGAGTTGAGTGTGTTAAATAATACGTAAAACATACATATTCTACTAAAAAAATAATCGCAATTGCAGGTACAGGAATACATATAGATCCATTAGGTACCAGTGCATGGAATGCATTAATCTCTGGCCATAAACGCTGGTGTTTATTTCCTACGCATACTCCTCGCGAACTTCTGAAAGTAACTGCAGCTGAAGGTGGTAAACAAAGAGATGAAGCTATTACGTGGTTTTCCATTGTCTATCCACGCACAAAGCTACCTACTTGGCCAAAAGATTGTCTCCCAATAGAAATTCTGCAAACTCCTGGAGAAACTGTTTTCATTCCTGGTGGATGGTGGCACATTGTATTAAATCTTGATGAAACCATAGCAGTTACGCAAAATTTCTGTTCGCGTACCAACTTTCCGGTAGTTTGGCATAAAACGGTAAGAACTCAACAAATAAAATATAATAAATAATTATGTCACAATGAGGAAATATTATTAAAATGAGGTTATTTGCAAGATTACTTGGACATATGTGCATTCATAGCAAATAAATATTATGCAAACTGTAATAATAAATTTATCACAGGTACGAGGAAGACCAAAATTATCGCGAAAATGGTTAAAAGTACTCAACGATAAAGAACCTGAACTGGCAACCTTAGCAGAAACTATAGATGTAAAAGAAGATACCGGTGTTGCTAGTGATTCTTCGAGCGGTTCCTCGAGTAGTTCATCAAGTAGTACCAGTAGTAGTCAATCTGAGGATAGTGAGGATGATAGTGGTCAAGAATCACTTACCGCACATAAAAAGAAAAAGAGGTAGTATATATTTGAAATGCTATAATTATGTATTGTTCCTTTCCCTTTCTTTTTTTTTATACAGTCGATTTTATGTGATTACAATTATAACTACAATTAAGATGTATGTATTTATGTGTATATATAATACTGTTTTCAAATTTTCAGAAGAAAATTGACTAATAATCAACCCTGACAATATCCAGTATTTGGAACCTACAGAGACCTCAGACTGTACAGTATTAACCAACAATTATTTGTACTAAGAATAAATATTATTATTATTATTACTATTACGATCATATCTTTATGTTCATAACAAAATAAATATCAAATAACACATATAGCTTTTTTTTCTATAAATATAATACTTTATCCAAGCCTTATGTTTAAGCGTCTTATGATAATGCACATTACTCCTACTCCCGATAAACTTTAACATTACGATTCGTCATTTTCTTAGATAACAAATTTACATATTGTCCTGCAGACTTTTGATAATTATCACATCTCCTAATACTTATTAAAATTACAATAAAGTCAAAATATATAAAAATATTTAGGAAGAGTATTCTCAACAATATTAAAAACTGAATGCAATAGCAATGTATAAAAAAAGTACAAACTAATATAATAATAAATCGATCAAGTGCATTATCATTTAAATTAAATGAGAACTATATAATTGCAAACTAAATACAATTTGTAGTATAGGACACGCATGTGTTAGCTTTTAAGTGAGTTGCTCCTGTGGAAGGTCCTTACGTCTCGTTTATAGTAGTTCCATAATTTCACAGTTCCATCGCTTCGTATCGACACGATGACCATGCAAAGCACCAAAGTGGAGTAAACAACATAGAAGCAAATAATAATGAATTAAACATCTGTACACTAGATCAATACACTTGTTATTTAATAAACTGTTAATTATTACAAAATTAATTATTAATAAATAATTTATTTTTCCGTTTTATTGACTAGTAAGAGAATGATTATACATCGTTGATGTCGTTTATAGAAAAAATATGTTTGGAAAAAATAATTGGATATATATATCTCGTGCATTTAAATTTGATAGGCTCAAACATACTTAGGTGTGCAATTTTGAAAATTGTAAATGGATAATTAAATTATGCTAATATGATTAGCAGAATCTCATAATGCAAATATATATATAAATATAAATACCAAGTTTATAAAATGTAATTGTATGTATTTATTCGACTTCAAGCATTAGTAATTAATACTGTATGTATTAAAGTGTTGAGTGAAATGTAAATAGCAACATTCAATGAACGTTATACAGGTGTAACAAACAATGCAGTCAGTTTTACATATAAAATGCTGCATTATGTGTAACATATTTTAAATGTTCAATTATAAATAGACATGCGCATCATTACAAAAATATAAGATAAGCGCATACACAGTATCGCACAAGTAAAAAGCAAATAAAGTTAAAGAGAAACTGTGGACATAGACATAGATAATGAGGAATCGGGTACACGCCACAGCTTCACTTCCCCAGAGCTGAAATCAACATCCGAGATGTTATTTTACTCGGAATTATTATATATCATAATATGTGGACTGCTGAACCAAAGTATGCATATCTGATACACAAAATATATGCCAACAGTCAATTCGCGAAAAACTATTGCATACATATCATTGTATCAAATATTATTTTCGAGACAGATCTGATTATGAAAACATTAAAACGTTTAGATTCTCTTACTTGCTCGCTGTAAATATATGCTGCTGATTGGTCGCAATAGCATTGATAGCAGAAGCATGCGCTCGCACTTCTCCAATAGGCGTGCATTCCCCTAGATGATCTTTAGGAACTGACCATGCCTTCAATATACCACCGCGACATCCCGAAATCATTATGGAACCGTTATTTATTGTACATAAACCCAAAATCCAATCTTTATGAGCGTTGTTTAGGGATTGAACCAATTCCATTTTGCTTAAATCCCATCGTTTAATGCACATATCTCTAGAACCTAAAGATCAATTAATAATAAATTATTTATTCCATATTTATATATTACGCAGTAATGCGCAATAAATAACGCACCGGAAAATAATGTAGAATCAACTGTTGTTAAGCATTGAACTCCGTCATAATGTGGTGGCGCTAAACTAACGGACGGTCCGGATATATTAGGCTCGGCGAGAGATATCAGATGATCCTTACTACCCGCTATTACTCTACCATCGTCAGCAACAGCCAAACACATAACGGCCGCTGTGTGTGGCGTACTCAATCTAGCAGTATATGTCAATTTACGAAGATCCCATATTCTAACTTTATCACTAGCTGCGGTATATAGTTCTTGCTCGTTCAAACTGAGCGCTAAATCATTAATTGTTGTTTCGCCCACGGGAACTTGAAGCATTCTAGACGGAGTCGATAATGCGATAGGACCGGCCTGAGTTTGGCCAGATGAAAATAATGTTTTTATGCAGTTATTGCCACTTCTTAAATCCCAAACTTTAACGTATGCCGCGGATACGCTAAATAGAAGTTGATGAACAGCAGAATACTTTACAGCAACGACGTTATTAGGATGTCCACTTAAAGTCGAACTTTCAATTCCTGTTTCCAAATCCCATACTTTCACGGTGCGATCTGAAAAATTCAAAGTAACTCGTTTGTTATCACAATTATACATTCAAACAAATATTTTTCGATATCATTGACTTGCAATCCGTGTGTGTATATATATATGTATATATACAGACCCACACATACCTTTCGAGCCGCTAAAAAGTAAATCCGATGTCACGCATATAGTAAGAACAGCTTTGCTATGTCCTTCCGCAACATGGGAACATTGCAAAATGGCCCGTGGTTGCATCTAATAGAAAAATCATATCTAATACTTGATTCCAGAAGAGAGGTAGAAAGCTTGTTACCTGTTTGTACTTACCTTACCCTGATACTGTGAAATAATTCCTTTCATTGGTTGTGGTTCAGACGCAATTAACTGCCTGCTCGCGGTTAGTCTGGAAAATACGTTTTCTTCGCGGCTATTGAACCGTCTGTATGTAGTAGGTGACCCAGGAGGTGAAGATATATCCGTATGCGCTACCTGCTCCCTAATAGGTGTGTTATGTTAGCGTGTTAGTTAGCCGGCATTTGGCTAATAATCTTTCATGCCGACTTGAAAATCATATCAGACATGCATGCATAGAAAAGATAACGAAACGTTACGATCAATCTAGTTTGTGTATAGGAGTAGTGCGCAATTAAACACAAGTATTAATTTTAGCCATCAAATGCAAATTTCGTACTTAGAAATATGTAAGTAAGGAACAGTCAAAAGGAAGTAACTTTCGACAGTTATCGAATTTTCGCGTCTTACTTCAAATTTTGTCATTTATTCTTTATCCTACATACAAAAAATATATAATTCTTACGCCTATATATATATTAAAGATACATATTCCATTTATAAATTAATGTCTTTTCTTATTGCCATCATTAATAATATGTTAATGTAAATTAAGAGTTAAATAGATATAAACAGAATCTATAGCATGTCAGCGATACAAAAACATATGTATATGAATATAATATATATTACTGAAAATATACATGTCTTACTTATTTGTAAATATCTAATTCTAGGTTTATTGTTAAAAATACCATTTGCAAAATACAGTTATTGTATAAAACATATATCCCATATCACATATATGTGTGTGTATATGTAATATGCTATTCCCCCGTATATATTTATATTTTATTTTACAATATATAACTTGGAAAAGTTTATTGAATATCTTATTTAATGATGAACTCAGAGGCACATTTTATACATAGGGAAAATAATATAATAGATATTTTTTGTAACATAACGCCATTATATACGTATGTTACAATTTATATATTAAAAGGTTGTTTTTTATGAAATGTGTTGCATTTAACATTATTTATGTGCTCTCTTACGCTCATTTTGATATATCGTGTGTTTGTGCGAACGCGCGAGCGCGACATTCTAATAATTATTATTATTCTTAGGCACGAAATACTTGCACTTGATTCCTATCTTAAATAAAATCAATAAAATTTATTTGGAGAAAATAAAGGTCTTCAGTAGTGCATGGAGTAGAATATAAAAAAATATATATATATAAGGAATACAAGAACAAGAATGTGCTGCAGAAGAATCACTCACATAGAGCCTCCACCTGGATGAATCGGCCGTCGCAAAGCTCTGGGCGATGTGCTGTCACGACGACTCATAGTTGGTGATCCACCAGTTACAGTGCCACTGTACTGATTTCTGGTTAACACCAATCCTCTGTATACAGAAATTAAAACAAACATATATATCGGAGAACTGCGTATATTCACACATAGAATTACTACCGTGTAAATTTTCTTGCACATGTATCATTTTTTACAATCTAAGACCATTGAAGTCTAAAAGACGTGTACTTACTTTAAGCTACCCGGTGCACTAGGGACTCTGGTAAGAGGATAATTATGATTTTGATTTTGATTTTGATCATCTGCTTTTACATTTTCCGGACTAGGGTGTATACCATAAAGAAGTTCCTGTGGTTGTGTTGTTCTTCTTCTAACTTTACTATTGCGCTGTCTTTCTTCACCAAGTATAATTTGGCCGTAATTTTCACTGTTTCAAATGTAAATAAAAATGAAATATGCGTAATACATATTAATTCAAATAATATTAATTCAAAAAATAGTAAATACCGTGGTTATTCTGTACATAAAAAGAAATAAGTAGTCTCGAATTAGATCGTATAAATACATTTTGTAAAAATCAAAACGTTTAAATACTTTTGAAAGATATCATCACGATTCGAAAATAAAATGTTTAGAAAATTATTTAGAGAAATATCGCTTGACTCACTTGTCGGGAGAAGAACTCCTTGAACTGGCTGGGCTATAAGCTAATACATTATTCTGATTGTTTGTGAGAGATAAAAGATCTCTATCGCGTAAAACGTGCTCCAGTAATTGATGTTGTACATCGCTTTCTTGTGCAACTTGATTGAGCCGTGATTCCATATCTCGCACCTCGAGCTGTTTTTGTGCGGCTATGCAACTTTGCTCCACGGTAAACGCGAGCATTCGTTGAAGTAAGTACTGTGCTTCGTCTACTGTTCGAATTGTAGAGATGAGTGTTTCGACACCGGGTTCATCCTCCGCCTCACCATCGCCCATTTCAACCATGTCCCGCTGACATTCCGCGATACTATCCTGTAAAATTATAATAATACATTATAATAATAAGAAAACTATTAACATTGAATTACATTAAACAGTTGTTAAAATAGGTTACCTGTAGATAACTGATTTTACTCTCCACATTATCGATTTCTTCGTCAATATCAGCGGTGTCACCTCTCGCACTTGTAATTTGACTCCTCTGCTTCTGAAGTCTCTCCAAATCTCTCCCTAATTCTTCTCTTTCTTGAAGTAATCTTTCCATCTCTCTTTCTGTTTCTGCGGCAGCTTGTTTTGCTAATGCTTGTTTAGCGATTGTTCTTTCGAATGTTTGCCATCTTTGCTTCAATGCTTTAGGATTGAGTGATTTGATTGGTGCACGACCAGCAGCTTTTTGACTCAATCCTTTATCCCTTTTTCGTAATGCCGTTACTTCCTCTTGTTTACGTCGAAGAACAACTTCCTTCATTCTTTTGTCAGCTTCTAACGTTCTAATGACGTTTGCATGCCTACGACTTTCCTTTCGTAACTGTGCTATTTCTCTATTTCGCCTCAGTTCGTTTTCTTTGTGTCTTTGGGCTTCTTCCCGCATTTTATTTAAAAGTTTCACTTTGGCTCTCTTCATTTCCGAAAGTTCATTCCTCAAGCCTCTCAACCTATTTTCATTCTGAGATTGATTTTTCAGTAATCTTGCGTGTTCTTTTTTAGCAGATTGTAAAAGTCGCATCTCTTTTTGCATATTAGCAAGCTTCTTCTCATATTCGTCGCGTAATTTTTTCACTTTTTCGGTAGGCGGCGTAGGTTGTTGCTGCAAGGATAACAATACTTTATCCCTTTCTTCTTGAGTGTCTCTAATACGAGCTTGTAATTGAGACAATTTATCCTCATAATGTTGCTTCATAGTATGCAAACGTCTTTGAGAAAGCTCAAGCTCTTGTATCAGGCGTTGTTTAACATCGATGTCGGACGTAAGCGCTTCCAATTCACGACCCATAGCTGCTTCTTCCTCGTCCTCTTCTGTAAAAATAACATAATTATTATACAATATAATGGAAACACGTAAGAGCGTTAAATATAAAAGATGTTGAAAAAACACACATACACACATATACACAAGATATTTATATTTAACGTATTTAAATATACCTTTACGATCGGAATCATCGTCGGAATCATCTTCGCTTACAGAATCCTGTGCATTCTCCGCATCGTCTATTTCTCCCTCGTCCACTGACTTGATAGTATTACTACCGTGATTGTATTGTTCTTTTAAAGTTCTTAACGTTTCTATTTCTTTTTCGACATCTCTCTTAGCATCGATCAACACAGACGCGGAATCAGAATGAAACGAACTATCCCCGTATGGATTTGCTGCGTTAACCTAATGAATATTTTATCAATATCAATTAATGAATCTATTACATCTTGGAACATAGTAATTCATCGCACCTGCATTTGCCTTTTTTTTAATTGCTGATACATAGCTTCTGCTTCCAATAGACGAGCTCGTAACTCTTCTATTTCTTGAACGTAACCCTGTATCAGACTAGTCACTTGATCATCACCTTTGCCCGATGTCGTTACCCAATGACCCGCTGCTTTTTCTGCTAATAAAAGAGCGTTCTTGGCTGTTAATGCATCAACTGTTTCCGAAAGTGCTTTCACTCTGGTGCGAAGACTTTGTAATTCGCTACTCAACATTTGATTTTCATGCCAGGCGTCGTTAACTCCGTCTTCACCGACGATTCTCTTGCCTAAGGAAAAGAGATAGATATGTAATATAAAAGTATTATTACAATATTTATATTTCAAACCATATACCTTGTCTATATTCCATCAATTCCAATTGAAGCTGTTGAATTTCTCGTCGTAGCGAAGCGATCGTTCTCGAGCTCTTGTCCTGGTTAATAGTAACTTTATTCTTTATATTCCTTGCTCGATTTGCATATTTTAACGTACTTAAAGTTTCCATGAAATCCCTGTCGCTCGGTGATACGCACGCTATCATAACGGTTTGACTATTTCCTACAAAGTATTTGTTACATTACAATGTAAGCCGTAAAATAGGTTTAAAAGTAAAGCAGACTTGAAAGTATTTTATATACTTATGCCGCAACTATATTATTTTACCTCCGAGAGAATCTTGAAGTAATCTAGTTAACTTTGAGTCTCTATACGGTATATGCGAGGCTTTTTTTGTTTTATCACCAAGAGCGGAAATAACATTACCCAAGGCCAACTACGGAAAAGAATGTAACATACATGATCAGATGGATACTCTTTTTATCTTATCTTTTTGTCGAAAGGATCCATTCTTACCAATCCACAATTGATAGAAATGCCTTCCTTTGCTCTGTCGCCAGTAGCACCCGTTCTCTTCAATCTTTCGGAACCAGCCAGATCGACAAAGTGAAACTTGGCGGTTAACGTTTCAAATTCATTCGCTAACTCGATACCACTCGTATCAACATCCGCGTCAGGATCCTCGACTTTGATGCATCTTTGCTGTTTGATATACAATGTAAATATTGCGTGCGATCTAGAGGACTGCGTATTCATTTGCGTGGATCCAGTTGTGCGTGATAGCGCACCCAATCGAAGATACTCCAACGCTTGTTCGGGATTGGTTACAACGCGTGGTTCTACACCAGCTAAATGTATATTACCCATTGTATCTTCGTGAATACGTGCACCACCTCTCGGTCCTCCTGGCTCTAATAAATCTTTCAAATCTTCGTTATATAATTCTAAGAATTGTGCTGTAACCTATGGCATGTAACGAGAGAGATCGTTATTGAAATAATGAAATTAAAGATGATAGACAAAGTACAAGTTGAATCCCAGATAATTTGACGGACCTTAAACTCCGGAGGCATTTGCGCGCGTTCCTTCGCGCGATTCTGCTTATCTGCTATTCCATCAAAAAGATGTTTAATAGCTCTAGGGATGATTCCAACAATAGTTTCATCGATTTCTACGTCAAAACCGGTGCCCATGGTGTAAGTTTTACCCGAGCCGGTTTGTCCATAGGCGAGAACCGTCGCGTTGTAGCCGTCCAACGCGCCTTCCACCAGACGGTTCACGCATGTTTCGTAAATCGCGCTTTGATTCACCTGAGTATCGAAAACGTAATCATATGTAAAGGCCTTGTCGGGTCCGAGAAAAACTTGCGGCTCCCCTTGAGGTACTTGAGTACAAATCCTGCACATGTCGATTACTTCGCGAGCTACTTGAGGCCTTATTCTGCAACAGACAACCAATTTATCTAACGGTTGCTGAAAAACGACTGAAAAACAACAAACGCTTTGCGGTAACGCGATATTGTTGATAACGAAGGTCGCTTGTATATACTTTGAAGTTGAAGGTGATTATTTCTTAGGCGATCGGTAATTAAGCCCACGCGCTTGTGTCGTAAAAGGAGATACTCGAGAATCATTATTTGCAATCGATCCGTGGAATTTGCCCGAGTCCAAGTTTTTCCTTACGTCATAATGTATTTACGCGAAAAAGGATTGTATAGGATATCTCGCGCTTCGTCCTTCGTAATAAAAAAAAAAATTCAAAAATTCCAGATTGAGCAATCACATTATTTATATTCGCGATGTGTTACGACTTGCTAAAGATATTTTATTCCTCGGGCAGTATTCTTCGTCAGCCTGTTTCACATAAGAAACATCCATTGGAGGTATCCAGAGGTGTCAGAAACATGCGAGGAATATTTATCTAAATAAGAACAGCTGCCACGATAAATTCTTCAACTATCTCGTCATTTATAATTAATAGAGAGATGCATGTATTTGAATAAGCAGAGTCGTCTGTCTCTCAACTGACACCGGCGTATCACCGGCACGTCACCGGCATGTCACATTGCACGCATTGAATGTCACGGACAAAAGTCTGAAAGCGGTTTCGATTTTATTATATTATACAAATGCATTATTTACTTACCGCACGGCAACGCGTACGCTCGAATCGTCCGCCATCTCGCTACGTGCAGCTAGTCGATAGCTATGCGGAACTATGTGAGGATCATAAGACAACTTTGGCTATATTAGGCTAAAATTAGGCCAAAATAAACCAAATGCGAATTGAGCTGCAGGGCAGTAGGCAGTTGCGGTCCTCCGCTATGCGACAATAACGTTGTGCTCGCGCAGGCGTTATCAGGCACAATAATTGTAAAAACTTGACCATCTCTGGTGGACGACGCACGAGAGATTGTGCATTTCTCTCGTGACGTTTGCGAGCGAAATCGATCCACTTGACAACTTCTACTATTACTGTACACGACGGCGACGGCAGCCGTCACTGAACTAATCACCAAGCATGACCAAACAATCGCGTTGATCGCGACAATAGCGTGGGAGCCATGAGCTGCTATTTCGGGCAAGGGAGGGTATGATAATCGGGGCAAGACGGGAGCCATATCCCACCATGACCTCCCTCTTTTGACGTCGGCTTATTTCGCCGAGACTCGCTAACATTCGGCTACTTCGCCTCTCACATTTTGATCTGGCTATGCATGGCTATGTCACTGTGGCTATGTTCCTACCACAGATTTCCTACTTACAGAAGATAAAAGGAATTGAAATATATGAGTTTTGAGTGATACGATTTCCAACTCACTTGCAGCCCTCGATAGTAGCGCCATCGGTCGGCGGCCAGGCGCAACCGGTAGCACAACACAAGCACAAGTTTAGTGACCATTGTAGATAATCATATAATATACCAGGGAAGGGAAAGTTACTTTTTAAAAGTAACTAGTTACAGTTACTCGTTACCGAGTAAAAAATGTAACTAGTTACAGTTACAGTTATCGCTTTTTAAAAGTAACTCGTTACAGTTACCGTTACTTGAAAAATAACTTTTCGTTACTTTTCCGTTACTTTTTTAAAATCAATTTAAAAATGT